GCCCCGCTCGGGAGGCTCCTCCCCCGCACCCCGCGCCCCAACTCCGCCCCGCCGCCGTGGCGGGAAGCAGGTGAGCCCACGCCCTCGCCTCCTCCCCGGGTGTGGGAAGCAACCTTTGCACACGTCTCAAAGGGGCAAGAGGGCTCCCTGCGCGGCACGGCCAGCCCCGGGAGGGGCCCCCACCCCTGCCCTGGGACATCTGGCCATGGGAACGAAAGCCCACCCCCCCCTGCTGGACCACTGGCCGGGAGCTTTGGCCTTGGACAGGTCCTTGGAAGTCTGCACACACTGTGTCTAGCTCGGTCCCCCAGCATAGAGGTCCCTTCATAAAGGGGCTCAGCAGGGACAATTCCTCCATCCCAGCTCCCCGCTCTTCCTTCTTATAAGGTGAGGGGCGATGAGGGTGCTGCTCTGAACCCCCAGACTCAATAGTGGTTCTCCCTCTGGCCCTCCACTGAAAACCCAAGTCAGACATACAGTGTGTGCTCCATTCCTGCTAGGGAACAGGAGACAGAGACTGGCTGACAGTAAGCTCTCCTCTCTGGCTGGTGGCACCCCATCTGCCTACCCACCCCCTCTGGGCCAAGCTCTCTAGAGCGTTGGCGCCATGGGGGTAGGGCAAGAGAGCCATGCCCTGCGCTTGGCTTTATTTCATTGCCAGACCGCTCGTGCCGGTGTTCGCAGTGCCCAGCAGTTGTGGGCACCCAGTGGGAGCTTACTGGAAGCTGGTGGCTCCTCTACTTCCCGAAGGGTGGGTCGACCCCACAAAGCTGAGAGGAGCTCAGAGGGACCCCAGCGGCAGCTGCTGCTGGATGCCCAGCTGGGAGTCCACCTGATAGAACCCCGGCCTCTCCCTTTTCCGACTGAAGGCTGTTGGGCTGCAGTTTGGGGGAAGATGTGGCAAGGGATTCTAGCCAGGGCACCTGGCTTGGACAATACTTTGATGGAGGGAAAAGCCCAGAGTCTGGGTTCCTAAAATATGGAGCTAGGATTGGGAAAGGCTGGGGTTCTGGTCCTGGCCTTCCAGCTTCCCCATGAGCCAGGTACCAGGAGTTCATGGTGACTCAGTTTCCCCTTTCTCTGCACAGCCTGTTTGGAGGCTGGAGGTTCCCAAGGAGGGACCACCTTCTGTCACTCAAGAGGTCTCCAGAATCCAGGCACTGCTGTCTGGGTCGGAAGATGCCTGGCACACCAGGTTTGGCTACCTCTGTCCCTTCCTTATTGAGGCCTAAGGGTTGCTCTGGCCTGGGAAGGGAGTTTCTTCATGTGGGCTGTAGCAGCAGCTTCCATAGGAACAATCACTGTAGATTATTGGGCCACCCCAGTTCTTGCCCATGCCCTAGTTCTAGGCTCCCCTCCAGTCAGATCAGGAGACTTCTGGGTGCCCCCTGGATGACACTATAGTTTGTCTGCCAAGGTGATCTGTGTGGTGAAGACCTTCCCTTGTTACACTGAGATCGCAGAAAGCTGGAACCCCCATCAATTGTGCCTTTCAAGGGATGTCACAATCAGACTCATGGGCTTGAGTTCCTTTAGCCAAGGTTGGCATTGTGGCATTTTAGAACTGCAGAAGCAGGAAGTGCCAGGGGCCTATCTGGCTCTGCCTGAATCCCCCGGAGCTCAGTAGACAATAGTGACCTGGGTGACCCGTAGGACATCATGGTAGTGGACACTCACCTGGAAGGCCACAGGGACAGGCAGGGTATGGATGGAACTCATGGCCCAGCTTGGTCTCCTCTCTCTAGTTCCCTCACCAAGCGACTTCAGATGCAATAGTTCACACTTCGGCTTCAGTGTCCTGCTCAGTAAGCTGGACCTCACAGGCCAATGCGAGGACCACATCATTTTTTATTTTTTTTTGGTGCCGGGACTGGGGCTTGAATGCAGGGCCCTGTGCTCACACTTGACTTTTACACTCAAGGCTAGAGTTCCACCACTTGAGCCACACCCCTACTTCTGACTTTTTGCTGGTTAATTACAGATAAAAAGTGTCTCAGGGACTTTCTCTTCCTGGCTTCAAACTATACTCCTCAGATTTCAGCCTCCTGAGTAGCTAGGGTTACTGAGCCACCAGCCCCTGGCAGGATCACACAAGATAATGTGCAAGTGGCTTAGAAAAGTGCTTAGAAGTTTCTTTTTAGCATCATTATGGAGTCTGCCAGAAGTTATGCTAGAAAGACCCCTTACCCTCCCTTCCCATCCCAGCTCCCCTTGAAATGTGTCTGGAGTCTAAGCAGGATGTGGTCAGGGCAGTGGGTGGCTGGTGTGGAGGAAGGGGTGCCAGCAGACATCATCTCAGGTGACACGTTGTGGCCTCTGGGCAGAGGCTATGCACCAGTATACTTTCTTGGGTTCTGGTAACTCCTTTCTACCTCACACCCCCAAGTCAAAAGGTCTTTCCTGGAAGCCTGGGGTGGGGCTGATAGCCCTGCTGAGTGTGTACCCTTGACCCCAGCTCTGGAGGAGGGCAGGCCGGGCCGGGCCAGGCTGAGTCTCCTGCTGGCTGTGCCAGGGCTGTGGAGATGGGTGGAAAGCAGCAGCAGGTTCCTCTGCCAGCAGAGGCCTCTCCGTAGCTCTTGGCTTCCTTAAACAGATGCAAATAGTGGGCTGTGGTTACTAAAAAGTGAACTGTGGGCTCCGTCTGAACAAATGGAAGGGCAAGAGTGGCTTTGAGGTCTGGGAAGCCCCACTGCTAGGGTGTGTGTGGTGGAGGACCCTGGAGACGGGAGGAAGGCACCTTCCTGGGCACGGGGCCCTGAGCCTGAGAACTCCTGACCTGTCAGAATGCAGAGTCCTGGTGACCTCAGGGACCAGAGCCACTGCTCTGCCCTCCCTCTTCAGCCCACTGATTACTGGCGTGCACCACCCCAGCAAGCCCTTGGATGGGGAACAAAAAGTGTCCCCAGCCCCTCTCCAGCGTAGAGGCTTCCGAAGCCAAGCTCAGATGGGGAAACACTGGCTTGTTTCTGAGAGGCTTCTGAGGGGGGCACTCCTGGGGCCTCAGGAGCCCCTCCCTGCCGAGCAGGAGCGGCGTGGGACCGGCCTTCCCTTACCCTTCACTGGCCTGGGTCCCAGTCATCCAGGTGCTGTGCCTGGGTCCCCCAAGCCCCGGGCCTGATCCACACAAGCCGCCACTGGAGCCCTGCTTCTTGGAGGCGCGCTGGGCCCAGCCCAGCAGCCCTGCAGCTGTGTTTGAGGGCTGAGCGTGGCAAGAGGAAGTCTGAACCAGCAGAGGGAGGTCTCCCCCCTCAGCCTCTGCAGCAGCTGGGACTCCTGGCGGCCCCCCAACTCCAGCTGGGATGGTTCTGGTGACTGGGCGGCAGCAGAAGCCACAGGCCCCTAAACAGGGCCTCTCCTCCCGCAGGGCCTGCGCAGCGGGGATCTGGAGGTGCCGGCAGGCTGGGGATGGCTGGGGGGCGTGGGGGAGAGTGCTCAACATGGGCACCACCAGCCATGGGGATACCTAGACCAGAAGGGGAGGTAGAAGCCAGGAGAGCACGGTTCAGGAAAAAGGTTATTTTATTTTCATAAATACTCCTGCTCTCACTCACACACAGACCCCACTTCTGACCAGACAGATGGATGGACAGACGTGAGATGCTCAGGGCAGGCCCCTGCAGAGGCGGATGAAGGAAGGAGACGTACAGAACCCCGGGAACTCTGCAGCCCTTGCGGGGAGGGGGGGGGATCCAGCTCCCTGTGGCGTCACCCTTGGGCTCCCATAGGTCCGTAGGAAGCCTGAAGCAATGGAGCTCCCCCGCCCCCGGGGAGGGGCCAGGTGGGGCTCCCCCAGCTCAGTCCCCCCTGAGACTGTGACCACAGGGTTGGTCACTCTGAAAACAAAAAGAGCCAAACCACACACCAGAGTGCAAAGAGCTGAGGTGCAGGCCCCCAGTCGCTGGGCTCCAGCACCACCTCCAGTTATGGCTGGGCCTTTCCATAAGGCATTAAGAGACAGGTGGGGAAGACCCCACCCCAAGCTGGGGTCAGGGCTGGGCCCGATGGCCATGTTTCTTCCCTTTGACCTCAAGTCCTTCTAGGGGCTGCAGCCCCTTCCCCTAAGCTCCCACAGGAGATGGGAGACCCCTGCAGCACAAACCCAGGCCCAGCCTCCGGCTAGGTTTGGCTCGGCAGCGGGGCGGCCAAGGGGGAGAGGAAGAGTCCTTGGGGGCCCTGTGGGAGGGGAGAAGCACCAGGCTGGACTGCAGCCAGTCCCTCTGCCCCGCCTCTCCCCAGGCCCTCTGTTCTAGAGGCTTCCCCAGGTTTCGGGTGGGGGGAACTGGTCCACATCCCCCATCTCGTTGTAGGTCTGGTCGCCCATGGTGAAGATGAGCTTGTAGCGGAGGCGAACCTTCTCCTGGGGCACACGGCGGAGGAGGGGGGGGTCAGCGGGGAAGAGGCCCCTCCCGCCCCAGCCCGCCCTCCCGCAGGCGGGCCCCTCACCTTCTGGGGGTTGGCAAGAAGCAGGACCTGGGTGATGGCTGAGGGGTGGACAATGGGGTTGAATGCCGGCAGCTCTGTGCCCGAGGGTGGCTGCAGCTTCACCTTCATGACCTGGGGGCAGGGGGCGCACACAGCTAGTCCCAGCTCCCGCCACCCTGCCTGAGGGTCCGGCTTCCCTGCAGGAATCTTGGGCCTCTGTCCTCCGGCTCCCTTCTGCTCCCCGCCCCCATCTCCTCCCCCACTCCCACCCTGGCTGGCCCTGTGTCACCTTGGGGACAGCTGACTGGAAAACAATATTGCGGATGGGCTGGGGGGCGGTGCTCAGCATGGACACCACCACCACCAGAACGTCGGAGCGCCCGGGCAGCGGGTCCCGGGCAAAGTGGAAGAGGACTCGGAAGCCGTGCTGGTCATACACTGTCACGGGCAAGATGCTACCTGAGGAGAAGGAAGAAGAGGCCATGGGGCCGAGCGCAGCACAGAGCAGACCCTTGCCTGGGCTGCTGCCTGACTGTGGCAGAGGTGCAGGCAGGCGGGCCTGATGGTGGAGGCAGGACACGTGCCCTGGGGCTGAGCCATGGCCAGCTCTGCCCTGTGCTGGAGGCAGGGACTGGTCACCTGGATGGTGGTGACACACGGGGTGGGCAGGGCTGCGGGCCGCCAGGCCTCGTCTGTCTGCTCAGGGCCTACACTAGGGACTGGGCTTGGCTTCCTCATCTTGGGGGAGTGCCTGGCCCCTGCCTCCCTGCAGGGAGGGGATCCAGGACAGCTTCTGAGTCTGCCTGTGACCCTGAAACTTAGCAAGCCTCTCGGGTCGTGCTGGGGACAGAGCTGACCTGGCCGCCGCCCTACTCACTGGGCTTGATGGACTCCAGGGGCACAGTGATGCTGGCCAGTGAGAGCTCGGTGGGCGCAGGCTGCTGCGCAGGCCCGGGGGGCTCCGGGGACGTGGTGTGGAGGAGACCGGTGGCACTGGGGCTGGGTGAGCTACAGCTGCTCCGACTCTGCAGGTCCCGGAGTGTGAGCCTGGGGGCAGGCTGCTGCTTCTCCCTTAGTGGGGACGGGGAGTTAGGGAGTGACTCCTGGGTGGCCAAGGCCAGGCTCTGGACCTCCTCATCACCCTGCTGCCCACCCAGGCTCAGCAGCTCCATCTGTTGGGCACTGCAGGGTTCAGGTGCCCTTTCTCGCGGACACTGAGCTCTACAGGACGATCCCCAAGCCTGCGTCGGTCTGGGGAAGCAGCCCTCACCACCGCACTTGCTGGGCTTCGGGTGGCAGCGCCTGCTGCAGGAGGGTCTTCCCCAGGAGGTCCAGGTCGTCCAGGCCGCTGCTGGCTGGCTGCGCCGCCTGCACCGAGGGTTGGCTGTCTGTGCTGGGAGCCAGGGGCTCAGCGCCATCCGAGGACTGTGGGCAAAAGGAAGGAGGGGGTGACAGGGTCACTGGCCCTGCCCTGAGCACCCTCCCCTGCAGGTGACATCTAGGAACGTGAACAGAACAAACCACCTTCCAGAAAGAGAGTGGCTGGGCCTGGCTGCTCAGAATTCCTCTCAAGCAAAGGAAGAGGGAGCCTCCATCTTAACCCCCAAGGAGAGGCTATGGCCCCGGGAGAGGAGAGAGGCCTGGGCTAGGGTGAAGTCACTGGAGGAGACCAAGTGATCTTTCTCACCCTCGTTTGTCACCTCCCCCTCCCCCCCACACCTACCTGGAAGCTGTTCCATCCAGCAGCTTCCGAGACAGGGCCTGAAGGGGGCGTGGGGTCACTTAGGCCTGAGAGGAAAGCAGGATGGAGAAGGGGCTGAATTGAGGCAAGGGGCTTGAGGGGTGACTGTGTGCTGACTTGGGGTTCCCAGGCTCCCCCCTTTCTGAGAGGCTCAGCCCTGAGGGAGAAACCAGAGTTTCAGGAGGAACTGGTGGTAGAGCAGAAATAGAAAGCGAGCTCCTGCCAGCCCTCTGCACCCACACGTTTCCGCGGGGCCCCAGAGCCAGCTCGGTGACAGAAGTCGAGACTGTCTCTGTTCCCCAGTGGGCAGCTGGGAGCTGGGCTGAGGGGAAGGGAAGGAAAGAGGCCTCCGACCTCAAGGGACCATGCAGGCTGAGCCTCAGTGCTCCTCCATGTTCGGTAATGTCTGCCCTGGCACAGGTAATCAGGCCAACAAGGTAGCGACTGGCGTCAGGGTGCTCCAGAGCCCTGGGGAGCGGCCTGCCCGGTGTCTCTACCTTGCAGACCCTAGCCAAGCTGGAAGTGTTCTCTGGTGGGCAGGAAGAGGCTCTAGGAGCTGGGACTGTTGGGGCTCTTCCAGGTCACCCCTGGGACTGCAGGCAGCTATGATCATCCCTAGCACTTGTCATGTCCCTGAGTTGCTGGGGACACTAGATCCTCAATCCTCAGACCACCTAGGAAGGTAGGTGTAGGGTTCTCAGCTCTCTTAGGGAATGACAAAATAGATGCTTAGAGAGGTTAAGGAAGCTGTCCATATCACACAGCTCTGGCACTTAGCTGTGAGACCTTGGGCTGGTGATTTAGCCTCCTTGGACCTTTTGCCTTTAAGAGACCACAGCAATGGCTGTCCCAGAAGATGGCTGTGGCAAATAATCACTGAAACGGCCAGCAGGGCACCTGAACGATGCTGGGAGGGCCTCTGGCAGGGAGGAGGCAAGCTGCCAGCCCTCCCCTTCCCACCACGCCTCCCGGGCCTCGGGGCCAGGCCCTGTGCTGTCTGGCACTCTGGTTCCGGTTCCCACACTGCCTGCAAGAGGAAACCGGAAGGCAGCTGGGGGCTCAGGGCTCTGGGGCACAGCTCCGGCACTGCCACCGGCGGGGGGGCTGGGTCTTCCAGGCCAGACACGCCTGCACTAGGGTCCCTGCCCTGGCTGCCCTCTGATCACTGCCTAGGCTCCGAATGAAGGTGGGCAGCTGGGTGGGCCTACAAAAGCCTGTTAGGGGGCTGGCTCTCTGCACCGTCCTTCCCTCTCCTGCCTCCCTCCCGCTCAGCATCCTCTTCCTTCTCTTCCTGATCCCAGTGGGCAAAGTGGTGGTGGGGCAGAGCTGGAGGGCCTGCTTCTCCCCTGGAAGGTGACAGGGCAGGCCCTGTGCCCCCAGCCAACCACATGGCATGGCCGGATGGAGTGAAAGTAGCACGGTGGCAGGCCCTGTGCCAAAGGCAGTGTGGGGGATGCTGGGCAGACTGCTGAGGGAGGGCCCCAGGCCACCTGCACTTCATTTCTAGTGCCACACACAGGCCACATCCCTGGCCTCTCTTACGTGTTTGTTTTTGGTTTTGTTTTGGTGCCTGTCCTGTGGCTTGAACTCAGGGCCTAGGCACTGTCATTTAGCTTTTTCACTCAAGGCTAATGCTCTACCACTTGAACCACAGGTCCACTTCTGGCTTTGTGGAGACTTTCCTGCCCGGGCTGGCTTCCAACTGCGATGCTCAGATCTCAGCCTCCGGAGTAGCTGGGATTACAGGCGTGAGCCACTGGCACCTGCTGGCTCTCACTTAACTGGCTCATGGCTCAGGAGAACACAGCATGACAATGGTCATTTCAGATTCCTCTGCCAGGCCTGGCCCCTCTGCTCTCTCTAGTCTCAGCTATTAGGAGAGTCTGCTGGGCCACTGAGAAGTGAGGCCCGCTGTGCTCGCGCCCAGCCCCCTGCTGCACTCTGGCACGATGAACTGGCCGGCAGCAACTGCAGGCCTGGCCTGGGCCACAGAGCACCTCCGGCTCTGGCCTCAACCTCTGTGGAGCTCACGTTCCTTCCTCCGGGGGAGAAAGCACTAGCCTTCCAGGGGAGCAGCTCCTTCCAGGGGAGTGCCTCCCCTGGCTTTCCTCAGAGCCAGAGCTGTGTGCCGCCGGCTTGTTAGAAAGTGGCTGAGAGGCTGGCCAGCCTCACCCTTTGCCGGGCTGACCTTGCTCCTGAAGTTGCCTGAGGCCTAGCCAGGAGGCGGGCCCGATGCCCGGCCCGTGTCCTCCTCTGGATTCACCGGTGGAGCAAACTGCAAGGCCTGCCCTGGCATCGCCTCCCTCAGCCCCTTCCTCACCCAGAGACATGAGCTCGTCATCAAGCAGGGAAACTGAGGCGCTGGGCTGCTCAGGGCTGGCCTGGTCACCAGAGCAGGTAGGCACGGTGGGATACGTGGTGCCCGCAGGAGGGAGGTCCAGGCCTGAGAGGTCCAGCAGGGCTGAGGTGCTCCCTGGGGGTGGAAAGGAGAGTCAGGGGTGGGAGCAGCAAACCTACCCTCCCAGCCTTCAGTGTCCTTGGCTTCTCCCCAGGGCCACACTGCCCTGTGTAGGCGCTGGCTGGGCCCCTGCTGTCCAAGGCGGTGCTTCGGTTCAGAGCACTGTCTCGCCATGGCTGGCGAGGGCATACTGTAAGAAGTGTGCGGTGCGGGGCTGGGAAGGTGGCTCAGTGGTAGAGCGCTTGCCTTGCATGCCTGAGGCCCTGGGTTTGATTCCTCAGCACCACATAAGCAAAAAGAAAAAAAAGCTGGAAGTGGCGCTGTGGCTCAAGTGGTAGAGCGCTAGCCTTGAGCTGAAGAGCTGAGGGACAGCGCCCAGGCCCAGGGTGCAGGCCCCATGACTGGACCCCCCCCCCAAAAAAAAAGAAGTGTGCAGTGCGGCCCCACAGGGTACTTACGCCAGCTAGGATGGCTGCGTGCCGCTGGGTGACGGTCTTACGGGACCGGCATGGTCCTTTTTGCTAACGTGCCCCTTCTTGGCAGCCGACCCCTTCCGTCAAGGCCCTGCTGGCACTGCTGCCTTGGAGCAGCCTCCCCCAGCCCGCGGGGCCAATTCTAACCTCTGCCCTTGTGCCCTGGTTAGCGCTGTCTGTGATGTTTCTCCTCTCGGCTGCTTTGTGATAATTAATTCAGGCCCCTGGGGTGTCATCCAGCTCCACCCAACAGGTGCCAAGTTTGTGAGAGGGCAGAAAAGCCCTTCTGCCTGTCCCTACCACCCGGACCTGTTCCTCCCTGCCGCCTCCTTCCCCCACTGCTGCAGGCTTGGCGTACTTCACCCCCAATGTCCTCCCTGTGGCCCTCCCCATCTAGGGGGTCAGGGTGAGGTGGTCACACCACCAGCTCGCCACCCTGCCATCCCAGCTCTTCTGCCACGCACCGGGGATGGAGCCGGCCGTAGCATCGCCATTGACCTCCTCGCCCTGCACCAGCTGCTTGTACAGGTTGATCACCTGGGTGAGGTTGTCGTTGGCCTGCAGGATCTCCGCTGGAAGAGGCAGGAGGGGAGGGGTTAGGCTGAAGGAACGAGGGAGGACCTCAGGATGGGAAAGATGAGCACCCATATCCACCCCAGCTACAGGTGAAGGCCAGGGGCTCCCATCTCAGGAATGGGATATGCGGCCTGTCTCCTGCATAGTCCTTCCCTGTTCGGTGGTCACACAGTCTGGCTGTCCCCTGAAGGTCCTCTGGCCAGCAGGGGTTCTGCTGTCTGGACACCCCATCCCTGAGTGGCTTTTGACAGAACTGGTATTGTACTCAGCTGCCTAGCAAGTGCTCTACAACTTAAACCATACGTCCAGCCCTTTTTCTTGTTTTTTTTTGGTTATTTTTTATTTTCCTTTTTTGTCGGTCATGGGGCTTGAACTCAGGGCTTGGGTGGTATCCCTGAGCTCTTCTGTGCAAGGCTACCATTCTACCACTTTGAACCACAGTGCCACTTCCAGTTTTGTGATTAACTGGAGATAAGTCACATGGACTTTCCTGCCCAGGCTGGCTTTGAACCGTGATCCTCAGATCTCAGCCTCCCGAGTAGCTAAGATGACAGGCGTGAGCCACTGGTGGCTGGCTTGTTATTTTCACGTAGGGTCTCACGTTGATGCCTGGGGCTGGCCTGGACCATTCTCCCCCTATCTGAGCTTCCGCATAGCTGGAATAACATGCCAGCTTTTTATTGGTTGAGGTGTGTGTGGGGGGGGAATCTGGTGAACTTTTTGTTCTGGCTGGTCTCAGTTTCCCCAGAAGCGAGGCGTACAGGTATGAGCCGCCGTAACCAGCTTTGCTCTTTTAGCAAGGTGATTAGCCTCAGTTGGCCATGGCTGTCAACGCTGCGCTGTGCGTTGGGCTGACAGTCACTTCCCTCCCCGCACCCCGGCTGTGGAGTGGGGGCCGTTTCCCTTCCATGCAGTCCAGCACTTAGTGAGATGCATGGGGAAGGGCCTGGCACACAGGGTTTCTCAAGGACAGCTTCAGTGGTAGCCTCTGCTCTCTGCTGGAGGAGGGCCCCCTGGTGGTGGTTCTTCCCAACTGCAGACGCCTAGCAGGGCAGGTTGCAGGCAGGGGTGAAAGGAATAAGGGGACTGGAGGGGATGGAAGGAAAAGTCTGGAACTGACCCTGCACAGCCTGGGCCTCACCTAGAGCCTCGTCATTGTCTTCTGTATCGCTGGCCAGTCGGAAAAGCGTGGGGCGCATCCGCTCACAGCGCTGGTACAGTTCCTGCAGGCAGTGGGGTAGGTGGGTGAGAGCCCTTTGGGGGGCTTTGGGGCAGGGCGGGCGGGGCGTGAAGGGGGCGCACCTTCATGAGGTCCTCACTGCCGCTGCAGGCTGTGGCGCCCTGGCTGTGGCTCAGCACCATCTCCGTCAACAGTTTCACGTTGTTGTTCACCTCCTCGATGGCGTTCACTCGCTTTGAGATCTTCTCCATGCGTTTCTGGTCCTGTGGAGCGGGGAGCCTGTATCACGCACGCATGGCCACCTGTGCTGGGTGGGCACCTCGGTCTGCCTGTGACATCAGTGCTGGCTGGCCGGCCATGCCTCGCCCAGCACCCATGGCTCAGGAGAGGCACCGTCTCCAAGAGGCGCTCTGCCAAACCCTGTGGCACTCTTTCCCTGCCAGTGCCGCCCCCCCACCCCCCACCCTGTGTGCTCATCAGATTCCTAGGGGTAGCAGCACACAGCTTCCCACACCTGTGGTCTTAAGGGATCCTGGATCCCATGTCTGCCCTGAAGAAGTTTCTGTACTTGATAGTGAAGGGACAATGTGGTCACCACATACAACCTAGAAGGGAAGGCAGTGCCCTCCCCCCATGTCCACTGGTGCATGGCAAGTATGGGGGGGGGGGTCTCATGGCCTGTAAAGAGGACTATAAAGCCAGGCGCCAGTGGCTCACGCCTGTAATCCTAGCTAATCATGAGACTGAGATCTGAGGATCACGGTTCAAAGCCAGCCTGGGCAGGAAACTCTGTGAGACTCTTCTCTCCAATAAACTACCAGAAAACTGGAAGTGGTGCTATGGATCAAGTGGTAGAGCACTTGCCTTGAGCTGAAGACCTGAGAGACAGCGCCCAGGCCCAGAGTTCAAGCCCCATGACCCACCAAAAAAAAAAGAAGAGGGCTGCAAAAAAGGACCCCCTCCCCCTCCTTCCCCATTCTGGAAATTCCACCCTTGCAGAATGAACAGTGGGCAAGTGCTCTGCCATTTGAGAGAATGTCCCTCCTGTGACCGACAGGGCACACAGTTTGGCCCTAACATGACCTCGAATTTCTGCCCTGCTGGTGGCGTCTGGGCACACCTCCCAGAGCCCGCTGGAGGAGACCCCAGTGGAGCTCTCAGCAGTCAGTCCAGGAACACAGCTTTTGCCCAGCCGGCCTGCCCACAACTGGACATGCCTCCTAGCAAGAATGAATGGATAAATGGGCAGCTTCTTTGGGATATACACTTAAAAAGAAAGAAAGAAATACAGAAGTAGCTAAATTCACTAGTATCCCAAGTGAATTGAGAGATTTCATACAAAAGTCCAGACTTCTGATGATCGAAGTGCTAGGTGGGCAGGCACGGGGAATGTGGTCTGCTTGGCAGTCTTAACCTTTTATTTCCTAGATGTTAGTCCCGTGCCTGGGGAACAAGTGGGGACACCGGGGCTCCTCCCATCAGCACTATTTTTTTTTGTCGGTCCTGGGCCTGATCTCTGGGCCTGGGCGCTGTCCCTCAGCTCTACCACTTGAGCCACAGCCCCACTTCTGGCTTTTTCTACTTTGTTTTGTTTTGTTTGTTTTGTCGGTCGTGGGGCCTGAACTCTGGGCCTGGGCGCTGTCCCTCAGCTCTTCAGCTCAAGTCTAGCACTCTACCACTTGAGCCACAGCACCACTTCCAGTTTTTTCTGCTTATGTGGTGCTGAGGAACTGAACTCAGGGCCTCATGCATGCAAGACAAATACTCTACCACTGAGCCACCTTCCCAGCCCCTGGCTTTTTCTACTTATGTGGTGCTGAGGAATCAAACCCTACCACTGAGCCACCTTCCCAGCTCCTCCCACCTCCCCCCCCAGTGCTATTAAGTATTGATCTGAAAGCTTTCTTTGATGATAGCCTGAGCAAAGCAGGTTTCAGTAAGGGCCCACAGCTTCACTCATAAACACATGGAGGTATACACATACATGTGTATACAGATGCATACATGTGTACTTTTTTTTTTTTTTTGGTCAGTTGTGGGGCTTGAACTCTGGGCCTGGGTGCTGTCCCTGAGCTCTTCAGCTCAAGGTGAGCACTCTACCACTTGAGCCAAAGCACCACTTCCAGTTTTTCTGGTGATTAATTAAAGATAAGAGTCTCACGGAGTTTCCTGCCTGGGCTGGCTCTGAACTGTGATCCTCAGATCTTAGCCTCCTGAGTAAGCTAGGATTATAGGCGTGAGCCATAGGCAGGAATCAGGCTTCAGCTTCTTTGTCTCTTGGGATAGTGCTGAACCCTGGGCCTGGTATATGCTAAGCAGTCACTTTTGAGCTACATTCCTAGTTCCTAATTCATTCTGATCCATAGATAACCTCATAGAATCCACCTTCCACAAGCTCTCTGGTCACTACAGGGCCCCCCACCCCTCCCCGCCCAGCACCATGCACCAGAGCAGTCATCACCTCCTGAACCATCTCCTTGATGAGCTTGTTGGCTGCCCGGAGATCCTCGGGATGGGAGCTCTTCAGCAGGCGTGCCAGCATCTGTGGAGACAAGCATGTGACTGTGAGCAGCAACAGGCTAGGGGTCAGCGCTCCATTCCCACCCATGGGACTAGCACGAGTTGCTAAAGCTCATTAAATGGTGAGAATTTTAGCCCTACGAACAACCATGACACTTCATGGATGGGACTTCTACCAAGCCTGGTGAAGTCAGGTTTAATTGGAGTGCTTGGTCCTCACACCACCATGGCTTTCTGGTTTTTTTTTTTTTTTAAAACGGTCATGGGGCCTGAACTCTAAACTGGGTGTTGTTCCTCAGCTCTTCAGTTCAAGGTTAGCACTCTACCACTTGAGCCACAGTGCCACTTCTGGCTTTTTTTTTCTGCTTATGTGGTGCTGAGGAATGGAACCCAGGGCCTCATGCATGCAAGGCAAGCACTCTACCACTGAGCCACCTTCCCAGTCCCACTTTCTGGGTTTTTTGGTGCTGGTACTGAGGCTTGAATTCAGGGCCAGGACACTATCTCTTAGCTTTTTCGCCCAAGGCTGGTGCTCTACTATTCCACTTGCAGTTTTTTGCTGGGTAATTGGAAAAAAGTATCTCACGATTTTCCTGCCTGGGCTGATTTTGCACGATGAGCCTCAGATCTCAGCCTCCTGAGTAGCTAGGATTATAGGCGTCAGCCACTGGTGCCACTACGGCTCTCTGAGTCTTTCCAGTGGTCACCCTTGGAGGCTGGGCTGTGCTGGGCAGGGGCTTCACTTCTTTCTCCATGTCACAGTTCTTATTTCCATCGTACCTCTCCTGGTGGGTGAGCTCCTCATGGTTCTTTAACAAGAACCTATAAACTCCTAAGGAGAGGCCCACAGTTGTGCAAGCCCCTCCACTGGGCCCGACGCCTAGGTTTATGAAATGCAGGGACACTGAATGCACTGAGTGTTTAATCATGGTGCCTGTCACCCTCTGGTGACCATGTGCACTGGACAGTCAAGGACCAGAAGTCCCCATTGCCCATGAATCCAGCCCTGGTGGGCCTAGTCCCCCCTTCCCCTCCCTGCCCCGGCCACAAGCTGCTCCCCCACTTCACCTTGGACTTCTCTTCATCTTCGAAGATCACATTCTTGGGCCGAGGAGGGGGGATGGGAAAGGCAGCATCCTCAGGAAGCTTGGGGTCACACTTCACAATCCCTGGGGTGGACAGGGTCAGGAAGGCTGACAGTCAGTCCCCGGCAAAAGGGGAGTGGAAGAGGCCAGTGGTCCCCCAGCACAACAGCTCTGGGCTGTGGTCTATCCCTGACCTGCCATGCTGATTGGCGTGGGGACAGGGTTGGGCTTCTGTATCTTGAGGCCATTCTCTGAGGGGAAGCTTGACCCAAACACACCTGTTCTCCATCCATGTTGGCCTCAAGCACAAGCACTGAAGTCTCCCTCCTCCCAGCCACATGTTCTAGAGAAGTCAAAAACACTCTCTCCTGGTCTCATTGGCCTAGAGCCCCAAAGCCAACAGGGCCTACCCCGGGGCCTCACCCTGCTTCTTAAGCATCTGGTAGGCCTCTGCGATCTTCACCTCCTCAGGCAGGCCAACAGTCCAGCTGTAGAGCAGTTCTAAGATCTTGTTCTTTACCTTGTCTGATGTCCGGGAGCCCAGGTACTTTGCAGGTACAGAAGAGATGCTTTTGAAATGGCCTGGCCCTGTCTGCTGCAGGCCCAACCTGCTGCCCCCCATTCCCCGCCCCCCCGCCACGGATGCCTCTGGCTTCCAGGGTTACACATCCCCACCCGAGCAGCCTGGCATAGGTTCAGTTCACCTCCTAGCTCTGCCACTCACTGGCCATGTCAGCCCTCTGTGACTCAGTTTCCCTACCATGGTGGGCTCTCAGAGCTGGCACACGGCCAGTTCCTAGCCAGCCCAGGTACTACTTTAACTTTGGGACCCAGCAAGGAGCCAGAGACTTCCAGGATGAACAGGGAGGAGACGAGGATATAACTGTGAGGCCCTGGTCTCCCCGAAGCTGTCCCTAGCAGCAGGCTAAAGGCCTTGGTCCCAAGCTGTCCCCAGTGGCACCCTGGGAGAGCCTAGGCCCTCAAACTATTTCCATCAGCAGCCTGGGCTGGGAAGAGCAGCTTTTACACCCCAGAGTTACCTCCTGGGAGAATGAGGGTCAGACAGGCGATAAGGAAGGGCAAATTGGGGCTCTCACCCAGGGCTCAGGGGAGGACTCCTCAGGCTCAGGCCAGCAGCAGGGATGTGGCCATGTGCTAGTGAGCTTGGTCACTCTGGGTCTGGTTTAGATGCCAAAGCCCTAATGCCCAGCCACACCCGGGAGGCAGGGTCAGGACACTTCTGCCAGACAGAAGGTGGGGTGCTGCAGCCAGTTCTGCAGGAAACAATCTCCGGACAGAGCACCCCAGTTGGGCTGCTGTTGATCAGGATCAGGGCTCCTTAAGCACTAAACAACTCCCTGCTGCCCACCACTGTCTGCCTGGGGCTCTTTTCCTAGAAGCCCACACTGCCCCAAACTCAGCCGGGAAAGGCCCTGGAGAAAGGCTCTGTGTGTGTAGGGCCTGATGGCTAAACGGGGGCTGGGGCGACCCACCTTGGGAGACACCACTTTGATGAGCTCGTTCAGGAAGCGGAATTTGCCCACCTCATCGTGGAACCTCTTGCCACAGTTCTTCATACATGTTTCCAGAACCTGGGCAGGGAAGTGGGGGTGAGGGCAGGGACACTCCCCCTTCTATACCTTGTCTAGGACCCAGGAGACAGAATGACCCCTGTGGCCATAAAATGCTGAGGTTTAGAGTCCCCATCGCCTCCTAGGGGACAGAGGTAGGGGACAGCCCACCCTGCGCCACGCACTACACATGTGCATCTGCGTATCACAGCCTATCACTTGTCCATGGCTTTTTTTTTTTTTCTTTTCTGGCTAGTCCTGGGGCTTGAACTCAGAGCCTAGACACTATCCCTGAGCTCCTTTTGCTTAAGACTAGCACTCTTCCACTTGAACCACAGCGCCATTTCTGGCTTTTTTTGTTTATGTGGTACTGAGGAATCGAATGCAGGGCTTCATGCATGCTAGGCAAGCACTCTACAACTAAAACACATTCCCAGCTCCTATGGCTTTCTTGTTACTCCTCTTCTCTTCTAAAACTTTACCAGATACTATCTACTTGGGCCTTAGTCTAAATTATTCCTATGAAACCAGGATCCTATAAGAATGCTTGAGAGGAAACACAAACCCAGACTCTACCAGTAAAGAGAAAGCTCAGCTTAGCCGGGCGCTGGTGGCTCACGCCTGTAATCCTAGCTACTCAGGAGGCTGAGATCTGAGGATCGCGGTTCAAAGCCAGCCCGGGCTGGAGAGACCGTGAGACTCCTATCTCCAATAAACCACCAGAAATCCGGAAGTGGCGCTGTAGCTCAAGTGGTAGAATGCTCGCCTTGAGCTGAAGAGCTGAGGGACAGCGCCCAGGCCCAGAGTTCAAGCCCCACGACTGACCAAAAAAAAAAAAAAAAAAGAAAGCTCAGCTGTTCCAGGGTGGCTGGAACCACACACACTGCCTCTTCCGTTATAAGCACAGCTATGAGTCTGAAGGCTGAGCTCAACATTCCCCAGGACCCTGTGGAGAGTGCAGTGCTGCCTAGGATGGGGGCCGGTGGCTCGTGCAATACACCAGGGAGCATCAGACAGGGACTCCTGGCCACATGTGAAGGGCCCTGATTCATTCAACATGCACTACAGTATGACATTAGGGGCTTCTCCCCAGCAAAGGCCCAGGAGTCCTGGGAAAGCTGTGGACCCTCAAGGACTGCTCCAGACCTCCAGCTCCCTTGGGCTCTAGAGAGAGCCATCAGAACTCCAATAACCATAGAAGCCCCAAGAATCTCAGACTTGGCCTTGCTGCTGCCACGGCCTGAAACAGTGCCCTCTCCCCTCCTCACCGTCAGGGCCTGGACGGCCTCCCACTCCTGCGGGGACTGGATCTTGTGTGCCAACAGCCGGGTAGCAAGTGGAGGCCTGGGTGGGAGGAACACAGAACCAAGATTGCTATGGAGCCCCAGGCGTCTGGAGGGGAGGGGACACGGGCATACTACTTGCTCACTGGGACTTCAGCCCTCTGCCAGTCCTTGGGGGTATGTGTAAGGCCCAGCTTCCTCTCTGGATGGTTGGGGCCTGGGAGAAAATCCCAGGAGAGACACCCTCTACCTGTCACCAGTGGTAGAAACAGATGGCAAGTACCTAACACTGGCCATGCCCAACCTCTCTAAGTGGGGGCAGGAGACCCCTGGAACCTCCCCGGAGGGCAGCACCCCTAAACTGGCTTCACAGCTGAAGCAGTAGGTGCAGAGGCCAGCAGTTTCTGCCCTTGGGCTGTCCGCAGGAGGAATGGGGTAGACACAAAGTCCATAGAGCTGTAGCCCCAAACCTCAGTCCCCACTAAGAATGGGCTCCTGGGCCTTCTGTGCAGTCCAGACTGAGAGCTGTGGACAAGCACTTAGGTGGGGGTGGCTCTCCCACAGTTGGTTCTCTTCTTCCTGTGCAAAGGGCCTGCTGGGAAGGATGCAGTTCTTCTTGGGAAGGTCCCCAACAAACTACCGGCTGGGGGATGGTCCGGTCCAAGTGTCCAGCTCAGGACTGCTACCACCTCTCTGAGAGCTCTTGGGACCAGCTGCTGAGTTCCCTGAGCCTCAAGTTTCTTGCCAGGTAAATGGGTTCTCCTCAGGGAAGGGCCCCACTATCCTAGCTAAGTGTGAAAGCATTTGGGATGGGAATTGGATCTTTGAGCCCAAGGCCAGGCTCTGGAGGGACTCCACACGTCAAGTGTGTCAGCAGAGCCCCTACCCTTCCAGGTCCTCGCTGAGCTGCTCGCAGAAGCCGTTGATGCTGGCCCAGTTCAGCTCCTTGTTCAGGGGGTTCGTGGCTCTGTCTGTGGGCAGAAAAGAGGTCTCAGTCTAGCCTGTAAGAGGGACCCTGGTCTCTCCCACCCCCCACTCCAGCAACCGGTTTGGCGGGGAGTGGGGGGGGGAATGGGGTGTGACTGAGCATGAGGAAGGTGTCCTGTCAGTCATTTCCTGTCTGGCAACATGGAGCTGAAAAGCTGATGCTTCATGGACGAAGAGCACATGGGCTGACCTTTCCCCTCAGGGTCCCACCCAGGGACCCCCCTTTCCCCTCCCCTTGCTGCAGTTGTACACTGGCCACACCCACTTTACCTCCTAAGGAAAGTGTCCCTGTGATCTCAAGGAATCTGCGCAGAGGTCCAGAGGAGGTAATAAGAAGCTCCTCAAGGAGCTGTGTGGCTGGCCGTGGGCCAAGGGCAGCCAGATCTCAATAAAGTTGGCAGAGGCAGGTAAGGCACGTCAGGGACCCAGAGGAGGGGACTCAGGGTGGCCTGGGTAGGCTGGCTGCAGGGAAGAGGTACCCTTCCAGCAGGGACAGAAGGGAGTAGGCCTGACTGGGAGGGCTGGCCTCGGCAAAGCCCAGAAGAGAAGACACAGATAATGAGCACAGGCAGAGCAAAGGGGTTTGCAAACACTCCATCCACTCCACTCCTCCTGGGGTCCTCCCAGCCTCCACTCCCACCGGGGGGGGGGGGGCAGTGTTGGCTTAGTTTTATGTCACTTTCCCTCCCCACGATACCCCCCCAGGTTTTCTGGGCCCCAGCCTGTAATTACATTGCATTGCAAACACTGGGCACCCACTCATCTCCCCTCAGAGTGAGAGAGAGGGGAATGAATGAATGAATGAGTAAACAAGGGCAGCATGGAGCAGGTAGGGGTGATGTTTCAGGAAGTAGAAACCCAGGAATGGGTAGTGGCCAGGAAAGGATAGGCAGATCTGCAGGAGGCGGGGTTGGGGGTGGGGGTAAACAAAGGGAGACACTCCTCTGGCCCCCAACTTTGGCTAAACAACAGTCAGGGTCACATAATTTCCCTTTGCTACTACCAGAGGAGAGCAGAGCTGGATGGTCACCTCCCACAGCCTCTCTTCCCAGTTGCTGGCCAGGTCTGCCCAGTTCTGAGCACTGAGCTCAGTCTGTGTAGCTATTTTGGAGGCGGAGATCAGGAGGATCTTGGTTTAAGCCTTAGCAAGAAGTTCACGAGACTCCTTTTCAACTGGGTGGGGCAATATGCCCCACCAGCGCAGCCAAGGGAAATACTAATAGGATTGTGGTACTAGCTGACCCAGGCCTAAATGTGACACTATTGGAAAAAGCAAAAAAGGGCTAGGGGTGTGGTATGGGGCCTGCCCAGAAAGCACAAGACACAGTTCAAACCAAGTACTACCAAAATACAATGGGAGATAAGGAGGATGAGGAGGGGGGTGGAAGGCTGTTAGCTGGATGAAACATGGATAGAAGGAACCCAAAACAGGAAGTCCCTTAAAGTATCAAAGCCTTGGGAGGCTGAGGGTGGGGAAGTAGTTTGTGGAAAAGGTTCACATCAGCAACTAGTGAGGAGGAACCACTGGTCTGGAGCGATCTACCGGGTTTAAGGCTTAAAGCAGGGGTCAACTCAGACCTCCCTGCTCGCGTCCCCTTCAATCCCACCTGGGAGTAGAGCACTTAGGGAGGCAGGGCGGGAGGTGTTTCTCTATAGTAGTGGCAATGCCATCACTGACCTTACCAGAAGTGACCCTTTACACCCTGACCTCCATCTTTGAACCTCATCTTGGTGCCCTCTGCTAGGTAAAGGATCCGGCCAAATCCAGATGTCTCCAGCTCCGGCCAGTATCTGGGCTCTTTGGTCTCGCTGAAAGTACCCAATGTTGCTATACTGCCCCCACTGCTAGGATGGGAACCCAGGGCCTTTGCAAGCCAGGCAAGTGTTCCACCACTGAGCTCCCCATCTAGGCCCTACCTGAGACTATTCTGTAGCCCCTAGAACCAGCATAAGCCTTGGAAGTACCTCCTAGATCTGTCAGCTAGGGCCCCTCCCATCCCCCAAGCTGCCCAGGACCTGGACACTTGTGGCCTCTGGAACCCACTCGCTGGCCAGTCTGACTCAGACATCCCTGAGAATGGTGTGATTCCAGAGCCACCCTCAGCATTCAACTGTTTAAAGGTTCTGGCCATGACCCCAATTCACCCTGCATAGATCCCTGTCACAAAGAACAAGTGGCTTCTTCCCCGAGGATCTGAGAGCGGTGTAACCAGGAGAGACCTGTCACTAGACCTGGAGAGGCAGATCAAATATTCAGGGGAAGAATCCAGGAGTGGGACTTCAAGAACTGAGGCGAGGGGCTGGGAATGCAGCTCAGTGGTAGAGTGCTTTCGCCTAGCATGCATGAAGCCCCAGGTTTGATTCCTCAGTACCACATAAAATGTGCGGCTCAAGAGCAAAAGAAGCTCAGGGACAGTGCCCCGGTCGTGAGTTCGAACCCCACGACCAAAACAAACCAAAGAACTGAGGAGAACTGAGGATCCTCTTCTTACTGGGAGATAGGGAGTATGGGTGGAGGAAGGAAAGGTCTGGGGGCCCAGAGCCTGGGGAGAAGGAAATCTGTAAAGACAGGAAAAGGTGCAGAGGCCTTTGCAGGAAGCTCAGCAAGAGGTGGGAAAGGAATCCAGCCGAGTAGGACTGAGCTGGGGAAGTGACAGTAAACTTGGGAGTTGTTACTCCCGGAGTCTGAGACAGGACCCTCCCAAGCCGAGGGTTTAGGAGTTTCTCATGGCGTGGGTCAGAGTTTGGGGGCAGAAGGGAAGCGATCTAACAGGCCCGGGTCCTCTCCTCCGGGACGGGGGAGTGAGGCAATCTTAGGGAGTAGTTGCAGGCTCAGGATGGGACAGGCAGGATTCGGGTGGAGAACTCGGCCAAGCAGGGTCCTTTCGTCCTTTCCCCCCAGTCCAGGTGCAGCTCGGGGGCCGCTCGCTGGCTCCTTCCGCGGACCCAGGGTAAAAAGACTTGGGGGGGGTCCGCGGTCGGTGGAGCAGTCTGGGCCTGAGAGGAGGGGGTCGCGCTCTGCCCCAGGGGTTCAGAGGGCGGTGCACCCCCGGCCGGGGTCGCGGACCCAGAATCGGGCGGCGGGGCCCGGGGGAGGACCCGCCACCCGGCGGGGTGGTCCCCCGCGCCGGGGTCGGACTGGGGCGCCGCCCCTCCTGGGCCGGGGGCGGGGCGTGAGGAGGGGGCGCCGCGTACCCCGCCCCCGCCGGGAAGGAGCCTGCCTCGCGCCCCCGGTTCCGGTTCCGGTCCGGCCCGCGCCCCTCCCGGACACTCACTGATTCGCGCCTCCAGTGTCTCGGGCTCCATCGCTGGCTCCATCCGCCTCTGGCCCCCCGGCTCGGCGCCCCCCCCCGCCCCCCGCCGCTCTCGCGGGACCTCTGCGGCGCCGCCCTCCGCCGCTTAAAGGGGCAGCGTCGGCCGCGGCGCGCGGGAGCGGGAGCGGCGCGCGGGAGCGCGCAGCACCATAGAGACGCGGGCGGCCCAGAGCGTCACCCGCTCTCCGGCCCCACCCCCGGGGCGGCGGCCACGACGCGGGAGGGAGGCGCCTCCGCCCTCGCCGCTCCCGGCGCTTAAGCAGGAGAGGAAGCGGTGAGACTCGGGGCTGAGGGCAGCACCATGGAAACCCTGCGGGACGCTCTAACTCGGGCGGCGTCACGGAGATACCAGTGACCGCTTCCGGAAGAACTCTCCGGGGCCATGTTTCTGAGGGGGCGTGACGTCACTTCCGGAGCCGTGGACGGGACTTCCGCTCGGCCACAGAAGGAGGGAGAGAAGGAGGGAGGGAGGGGCCTTAGGAAAGTGGTGAAGCCGAATGAGACCCGGGTTTGCGTCCAGCGGGGTCCCCGCGTTGTTCTAAGCACGTGCGTGTGCGTGCCCCGGGGTTAGACTCCGGGGCTCGGCGCTGTCCCTGCACTCCTCGCTCGGGGCTAGCGCTCTCCCGCGGCGCTGGAGATCAGAGGCTCACGGCCTGGCTTCGAACCGCGACCCTCAGGTCTCAGCCTCCTGCGTGGCTGGGCTGACGGGCGTCAGCCGCCGGCGCCCGGCTTCTAAGCACTTTGTATTCTCTGGTCCGGCGTCACAACCGACCCGGGAGCCACAACGCGAGTGCAGAACCAGAACCTGAACCCCGCACCGCGTCCCGCCAGCCCGGAGTGGGCTCCGGCGAGGGAGGCAGCCACGCCTGGGGGGGGTGTCCTTCCCCGGCTGGGGTGTGCGTGGGGGGGTCCCGCCCCGCAGGGGTCCTTCCCCGGCTGGGGTGTGCGGGGGGGGGGTCCCCCGCCCCGCACGGGTCCTTCCTGCCTGGGGTGTGGCCGGCGCCCCTCCCGGGTCTTCTCGTTCGGTTAGGTTGGCCGAGAGTCCCGGATTCCGAGGTCGCCCCGGTGCCAGGCGATGGCCCTCGGGGAAGCCGGGGGGAGGGGGGGCGGCTCCGGAGCTGAGCTTGCACTGGTGCGGCCGCCGAGGCCTGGAGTTCGGCCACCGCACACAGGCCCCGCGCCCCAGCTTTAGCTTTGGGCTTCCCGGAGCCGCAGGGTGGGGACGAGGGCGGACTCTTAGAGACCGTGGAGCGCAGAAAACACTGGCGGGGACCAGGCTGCAGCCGGTGAGGGTACAGCGACGGCCCGGAGGTGGCCTGGACCCTCGGGTTCCTCCCCGGTCCCGTCCGGCCGGGTCGCCCGCGGGGGCCACGCTCTCCGCGGGCGCCAATGGCCGACCGGGGAATCGCCGTGGAGCGCCCGCCGGAACCCCGCACCGCAACGGGTTAAAACCTATCTGAGACCCAAGAATCCGGTTCTACTGGTCCGGTCTCGGGGGGGGGGGTGACCTTGAAAAACCGCAGTGACCTCATCTGGGTCAGTTTTTTCCTTCCCAAACAACCATTAAAATTATGCAGAAAAAGTGGTAGACTGCTACTTGGGCTGGAGAGCTGAGGGACAGCACCCAGGCCCAGAGTTCAGGCACCACGACCGGACCCCCCCAAAAAAAATTATGCAGAAAAGTGATACGAATGCTCGGTGCGTCTCAGGAAAAGCCCGAACACGTACTCCGTGGTTTTGTTTCTTTGTTACTGAATTATTACTGAAATAAAACTCAAACTGCATTTACTGCAGTTGGTTTAGGGAGGGATCCATACTCAGGCTTTTTTGGGGGGGTAAGGTGAGGCAGGTCTTGCTGTGGAGCCCAGGCTGGCCTTAAACTCAGGAGCCTCCGGCTTCAGCCTCCTAACCAAGTGTTGGGATTTCAGGCATCAACTCCCAGGCAGAATCTTTTTGTTTCCTGCCCTGGGGCTTGAATTCAGCTTGTGTTCAAGGCTTGTGTTCTAGCACTTGATCTACAGCCTCCACTTCTAGGTTTTTGGTGGTTAATTGGAGATAAGATTCTCACTGGCTTTCCTGCTTGAGCTAGCTTGAGATTTCAGATCCTCAGATCAAAGCCTCCTAAATAACTGGGATTATAGGCGTGATCCCTCAGCACCCTTCTAGCCAGAATCTTTTTGAAGACATGACGGAAAGCCAGGGTTACAGGATTCCCTCAGCGTCCCCACTCAGCCTCTCCAGTACATTGCACTTTTGTTCACTCACATTTCTCCATATGTCACTGGAGTTCTAGGCCACAGGCTTAGGCCGGGAGCTCCACATGCTAGTTACAGCCACTCACTTAACTCACCAGAGAGACAAGCAGCAGTAAAGGGGAGAGAACCCGGGCACTATCCCTCAACTTTTTCCCACTTGAAGCTGGTGCTCTACTTGAGCCACAGCTCCACTTTCCAGCCTTTTTGCTGTTTAATTGGAGATAAGAGTCTCACAGACTTTCCTGCTAAGGCTGGATGCTAACCACAATCCTCAGATCTCACCTCCTGAGTAGCTCAGATTAGAGGTGTGAACCATTTCCACCTGGCAGCCTTAGATGAAACAGAACAGTATATGTGTAATTAAACAGTCCTAGTCATCTGTGTCACCACTGTGGGGGGGCTCCAAGTGCAACTTCTTCCCTACAGGTCATTGTCCACATTTGGGGGTGGCCTGTCCTACCCATCTTTTCCTTGGGAGTAGTTTCAGTTTGTTAGAAAGATGTTATTAATCAGCCCTATCCTTCCTGATGCCAAGATGGTAGCAGGATGAATGGCTCAGAACAAAGACATTCAAGATGGAGCCAAGATGACAAGCTTGTCTCCCACTGGAAGTTAAATACATGGACCCAAGTAGAGGGGGCTCTTTTGCAGCACATACAACTTCTAAGTACTGTGTTTTTTTTTCTGTGCACCAAACGGAAGTGTAAAAATGATAGCTCCCTTGGGTGGATCATTGGGCTGTCCTTCTAAAGGCTCATAATACAAAATGTTGATTAAATGCATTAGTTACACTTTTCTCCTCATTATACATAGCTGTCAGTTTTATTTCAGACCTAGCCAGGAGCCCTAGGAGAACTGAGAAAGCTTCCTCCCATGTATGTGTGCATGGAATCAATGAATGCCTTTATGTAACACGGTGGAATCAGCAGAGATGGGGAGGGCTTCCATGTCACCCTCCATCAGAGTCCCTGAGTGAGAAGCAGGAGCTGAGCCATGCTGAGCATAAAATGGAAAGGGTTTTTTTTTTTTTTGTTGGTCATGGGGCTTGAACTCTGTGCTTGGGCACTGTCCCTGCGCTCTTCAGCCCAAGGCGAGAGCTCTACTGCTTGAGCCACAGAGCCACTTCCAGTTTTTCTTGTGATTTATTTTATTTTTTTTTGGGGGGGGGGTCTGGTCAAGGGGCCTGAACTCTGGGCCAGGGCGCTGTCCCTCAGCTCTTCAGCTCAAGGCTAGCGCTCTACCACTTGAGCCATAGCACCACTTCCGGCTTTTTTTCTTTTTGCTTATATGGGCTGAGGAATCCAACCCAGGGACTCAGGCATGCAAGGCAAACGCTCTACCACTGAGCTACCTTCCCAGTCCTTTCTTAGGGTTTATTGCAGAGAAGAGTTTCACGGACTTTCCTGCCCGGGCTGGCTTTGAACCGTGATCCTCAGATCCCAGCCTCCTCAGTAGCTAGGATAACAGGCTGAGCCACCAGGGCCCAGCGGGGAAAGACTTTTTTTTGTTTGTTTAAGGACTGGTATTGGGACTTGAACTGCCAGGAGACCATTGTAAAACTTTTCCTAAAGCTATTGTTTGCTAGAGTTATTGCTTAACCACAAAGCCAATTGTCAGCTCATAAGGTATTTAAGGAATTTTTGTAACAGACCTCCCTGTGGCTTAGATTTATCAGAGAAGATAGTTACTGATCTTTTACTTACCCCACCCACCTGCATCCTGTTTTTTGTAAAAAAACTGTGTTACCAATATGTTGCAACCACTTCCTCTTTCATTTATAGTTTATAAGCCTACTTGTAAGTTCAATAAACAGACCTTGGTCTCCTTCCTTGTGTCTGGTTTGTCTCTCATTCAGATCAGTTCCTCTTTGAGCCCTAGTTGACGGACCCTGCTGGCTGGGGCAGGCGGCACCCAACGTGGGGCTCTAAATCCTGGTCTGAAAGTCGCCCGATTGAGCGGCCTCTCTCTTCTTAGATTGCCACTCAGCCGAAGTGAAGATCCGCATCGTGATCACCGCAAAAACACTCAACTGCAAGACTGCAATACAGATCCATAAGGTAAGGGAGGCGACACAATTATGGGACAAACACTTAGTAAGCATGAACTTTTTGTTCAAGGCCTAAAAGCCTCACTCAAGGCACAAGGAACACGGGTTAAGAAAAAAGATTTAACTCAATTTTTTATGCTGCTGGAGGATATTTGCCCTTGGTTTCCTCAGGAGGGCACTATAGACGAAAGAAGGTGGGGTCGTGTTGGAGACTGTCTTAAGGATTATTATGAAACTTTTGGCCCCGAAAAGATTCCTGTTCAGGCTTTTTTGTATTGGAACCTCATAAATGAGATCCTCCAAGTTCGCCACCAACACAAAGATGTGTCTAGAGTGGTTAAGGAAGGTGAAGAATTTTTAAAACATAGATTTAAGGGGAGTCAGGCCTCCCTTGCCCAAAGACCCCTCTCCCGTCCCCCCTCAGTCGCGTCCCATTGTCCTTCGGTTTCCATACCGATGCCTGATGCTAACAGCGACTCACAATTACAAAAACCAAAATCTATATACCCAGTTCTTTCTAACCTCAGATCCCAGAGGCCCAATGATGATGTCCTTCCCCCTGAGGACGAGGCCACTTTGGAAGAGGAGGCTGCTAAATACCACGCCTCAGATTGGCCCCCTCTAAACCCCTTGGGCACACGACCTCCTCCCTATAAAATAGCCCCTCCCTTCTGTGCCCCTGCCTTGGCCTCTTCAACAGACCTTGAGGAGGTCACCAGACAAGCCACAGTTAAGCTTTCCCGGGAAGCCCAGTCCTTAAGGGCCCTAATTCAGGCCAAGAAGGAAAAGGCCCAACTATTACAACAACTATATAAACTGGACCTAGAAATTAGGAACCCAAACTTAGAAAAATTAACGACAAAAAAGGAAAAGATCCTTCATGCTTTTCCAGTCACTCGGTCTCAAATTAGAGCCACTTTGGAAAATCTAGAAGGAGAATCTGATGATCAAGAGACTGAGGCGGAGGACAGAGAGGAAGAGCAGGAGGGAGGGCCCAAGTCTGATGACTCAAATGGGGAGGAGGAAGGAGGAGAGCGCATGGTTATTAGAGCTCAAAAATACCACCGCCTTAAATTTACACATATTAAAGAATTAAAAAGTGCTGTTTCCTTGTACGGCGCTACCACTCCTTTTACCATTTCTCTTTTGGAATCATTGAGCGAGGACTGGCTTACAGTAAATGACTGGGCCATGCTAACCAAGGCTACTTTAACACGAGGCGATTTTCTTTTATGGAAGGCTGATTATGGCAAAAGATGCCAGGATATAGCTCGCCGTAACACATCTGCTGGTGGTCACTAGTCCTGGACCATAGAAAAATTGATGGGCAACAAGCCATTTGATACCAATGAAAAACAGGCTAACTTTCCCCCAGGATTGCTTGTTCAGATTCAATACGCTGCCCTTAAGGCCTGGAAAAGCCTCCCTTCGCAAGGGTCCACCGTTACCTCTTTGGCCAAAGTTCGACAGGGACCCCAAGAATCTTACAGCGAGTTCATTGGACACCTTACAGAGGCTGCCGAGTGCCTTATGGGAAAGGAAGAAACAGATAGTGAGCTTATCAAACATCTTGCTTTTGAAAATGACAATTCTGCTTGCCAAGCGGTTTATGTCCCCACTGCCATGGCAGAACCATTACTGACTTTATCAGACTTTGCTCTGATGTTGACCCCACCTCGCATAACATCGGCCTGGCCATAGGTGCTGCCCTTAAGGATTTTACTCAGAGCCAAAAACCTAAAACCTGCTTTAATTGTAAACAGCCTGGCCATTTTTCAAAGGTCTGTACTGCCCCCAAGGCTGAAAAACCACCCCCTCCGTCCCTATGTCCAAGATGCAAACGGGGAAAACATTGGGCCTCTGAATGTCGCTCCAAAACCGATATACAGGGCAATCCCCTACCACCCAAACGGGAAAAAAAAAAACCAAACAGGACAGAACCTTGGGGCTGTCAAGGTTCGTCCCCCAAGTGACCCCTCAAGCACCATCAGCGCCCTTGTGCAGGCAACCGCAGGAAGCGCAGGATTGGACCTCTGCCTCTTCCCACACGATATTGACCCCTGAGTTAGGAAATCAGATTCTTTCTACAGGAGTGTTTGGCCCACCGCCCCCAAACACCTTTGGTCTCATTCTGGGGCATGGTAGTTCTGTTTTTCAGGGCCTTAGTATTTCCCCTGGGGTTATTGACAATGAGTATGAGGGAGAGATTAAGTTACTGGCCACTGCTTCTCAGGGGCCAGTCACAGTTTTTCCTGGACAAAGAATTGCTCAATTTTAATATTGCTTCCCCTTGATAAGACAAGCCTTAGCCTTACACAAAAAAGAGGATCCAGAGGCTTTGGGTCTTTGGATGCTTACTGGGTCCAGGAGATTACTCAGGACTGGCCTCTCCTTAAGCTAAAATTGGATGGAAAAATATTTGAAGGCCTTATGGATACGGGTGCTGATGCTACAATTATTTCTAAAGACTGGCTCCCCCGTCCTGGCCCCTTACCCCTTCTATGACTCACCTTAAAGGCATTGGACAAACCTCTAACCCATTACAGAGCTCCAAAATTTTAACCTGGGAAGATGAAGAAAAAAATAAGGGCACCGTCCAGCCGTATGTGGTTGAGACTCTCCCGGATAACTTGTGGGGACGTGATATTTTATCCCAAATGAAGCCTATAATGTGTAGTCCAATGAATTGGTTACTTAACCAGGGCTTTCGCCCTGGACAAGGCCTAGGAAAACATTCTCAAGGCCTAAAAAAACCATTCAGGTGGAGGAAAAAACCAATAGTTTCGGTATGAGCTATAAAAATTTATCCTAGGGGCCGTTGACATGCCTGTATTCCATGCAGACAAAATATCCTGGAAAAGGACTGAGCCTGTATGGGTTGATCAATGGCCCTTATCCTCTGAAAAACTGGCTACGGCTACTATGTTGGTCCAGGAACAGCTTGCCGCAGGCCACATTGAACCCACCACATCTCCGTGGAACACTCCCATTTTTGTAATTAAAAAGAAATCAGGAAAGTGGATATTACTTCAGGATCTTAGAGAAGGAAATAAGGCCATGGTGCCCATGGGAGCCCTTCAACCCAACCTTCCCACACCCGTGGCTATTCCCACGGGGTACCATAAGATTGTTATTGATTTAAAGGATTGCTTTTTTTACTATTCCTTTACACCCTGAGGACCGTGAACATTTTGCATTTAGTTTACCAGTAACTAATTTTAAAGGCCCTATGTATGCCAAGATTTCAGTGGAAGGTTTTACCCCAGGGTATGGCAAATAGTCCCACATTATACCAAAAGTTTGTAGCCCAGGTGGTGGATCCATTTAGGCAACTATGGCCCTCCATATATTTAATTCACTATACGGATGATTTACTTTTAGCGGGCCCTGACCCTGATCAGCTTCTTTACTGCTCCCAAAGACTTTCTAAAGCCCTTGCTGACACTGGCCTTCAAGTTGCGCCAGATAAGATCCAGCTGGCTCCTCCCTATACATTTCTGGGCTTTGAGCTTTTTTATAAAAGGATTTTTTCACAAAAAATTCAACTTAGAATATTTACAAACCTTAAATGATTTTCAGAGGCACCCTGGGGAGTAGAGAGCACCCTGCCGCCCTCCGGGAGAAGTTACTGTGGGGCTCCCATGCAGGGCGACGCTCTCGATGAAGCTTCCCTACCTCTTATGTTTGTCCTGCTTACCATAAACGTAGAGAAGATCACCACAAATGTGGGGGCCGAGGAGATCTTCACTGTAAGCCTGGGACTGTGAAACCACATAATGGAATCCTTCCTCCAAGTGGGATTATATAACAGTTAAGGCAAATTATACTCACCCCCCAATCATTGGGGTTATTGTTCCTGAATGTGAGCAACAGGAACCCCACACCAAAGGCTGGTGTCACCTGCTTAAGATTCAATTCACCACTGTAGGAAAACTGACAGCTGGGCGGGAACAGGGCTTTACCTGGGGACTACAACTCTTATCAAGCCGGTTCAGATACGGGTGTTGTGTTTACCATCAAACTAACAAAAAAAAACCCCAAATTATTCACAACCGGTACCTGTAGGACCCAATGCGCTCATCCCACTGCCCAAAAAAGAACCAACCCTAAAATCTGAACCCAAATCTTCAGCTCCCTCTATTATGGACAGGCTATCTACTCTCCTCAGATGATACATGGTGGGCCTGCAGCGATGGCCTTACCTCCTGTGTGTATGCCTCTTTAATCTTACCAGAACCCATATTCTGCATCATGGTACAAGTCGTGCCACAGTTAACTTACTATTCTCAAGATCAATTTACAGGACTTTGGGAGACCCACATAAGAGCCTTACCTCGACGGAAAAGAGAACCTGCTACTGCTGTAACCCTTGCTGTCTTACTGGGATTAGGCATCGCTGGAGCAGAACCAGAGTAGCCTCCCTCGTCCTCTCTAATCAACATTACTCTGAACTCCGGTCTACGATAGATGAGGACATACAAAACTTAGAAAAAGGAATATCTGCCTTAGAAAGCTCACTAGCCTCTTTGTCAGAAGTAGTGCTCCAAAATAGAAGAGGACTAGACCTCCTGTTTTTACAACAGGGGGCTATGCGCTGCTTTAAAGGAAGAATGCTGTTTCTACACTGACCGCACAGGGGTCGTTAGAGACAGCATGGCCAAAGTTAGGGAAGGGTTAGAGAAAGGAAAAAAGCAGAGAGAACAGGAGGGAAGCTGGTTTTACAAAAACTGGTTTCCCATCTCCCCTTGGTTCACGACCTTACTCCCATCCCTACTCGGACCTTTTGTTGGCATCCTAATTTTGTTGGCTTTTGGCCCATGGGCCTTTAATAGGCTTACTGGTTTTATTCGGCAACAGATTGATTCCCTAACATCAAAACCTATGCAGGTTCATTACCACCGGCTAGACCTTGCAGACCAAGGCCTAGATGAGCCCCTTGAGAGAGGGTCTCCTTCGGGAACTGCGCCTCAGTCCTGTATGGCGCGCACCCTTGGGGTGAAGGCATCTGCTTAAGAGGTACACAACCAGTGCAGAGGGGCTAGTAAAGCTAGCACACAGGACCCCTCGAGAGATACGCCCGATAGCATAGGGGTTAAGTGTCGCTCAATATCCCCTCCTTCAAAAAACCGACACAAGATGTATAAAGGTTTGGGACGCGATTCTCCCCACAGGATCGTTCCCCTTATCATACATCCACCATACACCCATCATTTGCTCAGAAGGATCGGTGCCTCTGTCTCCCCTCTCAGACTAATGCCTCAATTTGTTTTTAGGACCCTTCTCTGCTCAAACTTTTAAGTAAATAAAAGAAGGGGGACTTGCCCGGAGACCACCTTAAAACTTTCCCTAAAGCTATTGTTTGCTAGAGTTATTGTTTAACCACAAAGCCAATTAATTGTCAGCTCATAACATATCGATTTATCATAAAGATAGCTTCTGATCTTTTACTTACCCCACCCACCTGCATCCTGTTTTTTGTAAAAAAAAAAAAACTGTGTTACCAATATGTTGTAACTACCTCCTCTTTCATTTATAGTATATAAGCCTTCTTGTAAGTTCAATAAACAGACCTTGATCAGAACTCTGTCTTGGTCTCCTTCTTGGTGTCTGGTTTGTCTCTCATTCAGGTGAGTTCCTCTTCGAGCCCTAGTTAACCGACCCCACGGGCTGGGGCATGAACTGTCCCTGAGCTTCTTTTGAGCCAATCTTGGGGCTTGATCTAAGGTCTGGGCGCTGTCCCTGAATCAAGTATAGCACTTTGCCACTTGAGCCACAGTGCCACTTCTGGCTTTTTCTGTTTATGTGGTGCTAAGGAATCAAACCCAGGTCTTCATGCATGCTAGGCGAGCACTCTACCACTAAGCCACATTCCCAGACCCGCAAATAGTTAAGTACAAGTCTGTGCCAGGAGCAGAGGATGGAGGAGTGAAAGGCAAGGTACCATTATTGTGGAACTTACACAGAAAGGAAGAATACAGTTTCAAACTGGGATGGTGCCACAGCCAGCGGTGAGCTGTGGGGTACCTCACATGTCCAGTAAGGTTCAGGTGTTGCAGAAACTGGGTGCCAGTGGTTCACACCAGTATTCCTAGCTTCTCAGGAGGCTGAGATCTGAGGATCATGGTTCAAAGCTAGCCTGGACAGGAAAGTCCATAGGACTCTTATCCCCAATAAACTACTCAAGGAAAGAAAAAAAAAAGCTAGAAGTAGAGCTGTGGCTCAAGTGGTAGAGTGCTATACTTGAGCAAAAGAAGCTCAGGGACAACTCCCAGACCTAAGATCAAGCCCCAGGATTGGCACAAAAAAGTGCTGTAGACCAATGGCCAGTGGGAGGAAAGGAGACCTGAAGTGTCTGAGCAGAGCAGCGGACCCAGAAATAGGAAGAATTTTCTCCCCAAGCTGGGCAGAGAAGGAGGCAGGACGTGCTAAAACATCTTTAGGAATCTGAGAAGTATGGAGGGAAACCGGGCAGAACAGGAGCAACCAGAGCTTGGTGGCTCCGGGCTGGTTATTTCCTCTCTGGAGTCTCTGCTTGTTGGAAGATTAGACTTGAGGAGGAAGCTGAGTGCCAGAGGCTCACGCCTGTAATCCTAACTGCTCTGGAGGCTGAGATCTGAGGATCTAAGTTCAAAGCCAGCCTAGGCAGACAAATGTGAGAGACTCTTAGATCAACCAGGGAAAAGCCAGAAGTGAAATGTAACTCAAGTGGTAGAACATTAGACTTAAATGAAAAGCTAACAGCACCTCGGCCCTGAGTTCAAGCCTCACTACAGGCCCCCCAAGAAGGGGAACAGAAGTTGGAGAGAGTGACTACTAGTGGTTCCTGTTGTTACTGCAGGTGAGGCCCTGGGTTCCTCTGGTCTAGGGCATGCCTCTTGCAGTCCCCCCAATGCAGATAGGTGCCTTGAAAAGCCTGCCTTCACCTCTCCCCGCCCCCCCAACACTGCACACTGGCAGTCTGTCTCTCGCCTCCCTGCAGGACAAGAACTCCAAGGACTCAGGAGAAACTTGGAGGAGCTCCTAGAAAGGACTTCCTTGTCTCTGTCAGGAGTATCACAGCTGCTGGGGAGGGAGCAGCATGCGTGGCTATGGGCAGATTTAGAGAATTCTGGCTGGTGCTAGTAGAGATTTTTTTTTTTTTGGGTCTGGTCCTGGGGTCTGAACTCTGGACCTGGGCGCTGTCCCTCAGCTCTTCAGCTCAAGGCTAGCACTCTACCACTTGAGCCACAGTGCCACTTCTGGCTTTTTTCTGCTTATGTGGTGCTGAGGAATCGAACCCAGGGCCTCATGCATGCGAGGCAAGAACTCTACTACTGAGCCACCTTCCCAGCCCATGGTAGAGATCTTTGAACCCAGCTATCTGGCCCAAAAAGTCCATGAGACTCTATTTCCAATTAACCAGCAAAAAGCCAGAAGTGGAGCTCAAGAGGTAGAGGACCAGCCTTGAGTACAAAAGCTCTGGAACAGGCCCTAAGTTTAAGCCCCAAGGCCAGTGCATGTACACACATATAAATACACGCACACCCCAAGAGTTGTAGAATCCAGGCCCAGACTCCAGGAGTTCCATGATGTTAGGTCCAGCTCCTCACTCTTTAAGCCAAATTAAGAGATGGGTGAAGGGCAGAGAAAAGAGAATTGTTCCATGGCAGCACCTCTGTAGCCATGTTAAGGGTGTAGACCCAACCTGTAGGTTTTTGCTTATTTTTTTTTGCCAGTCCTAGGGCTTGAACTCAGGGCCTGAGCACTGTTCCTGAGCTTCTTTTGCTCAAGGCTAACACTCTACCCCTTGAGCCACAGCACCACTTCCAGCTTTTTCTGTGTATGTGGTACTGAGGATCGAACCCAAGCCTTTGTGCATGCAAGGCGAGCACTCTACCATTAAGCCACATTCCCAGCCCCACATGCCTCTCTTCTCTTTTTTTTCCCCCTTCTTTTTGGGGGGTTCCGGTCGTGGGGCCTGAATTCTGGGCCTGGGTGCTGTCCCTCAGCTCTTTAGCTCAAGGCTAGCGCTCTACCTCTTGAGCCACAAGGCCACTTCCAGCTTTTTTCTTTTTGCTTATGTGGTGCTGAGGAATCGAACCTAGAGCCTCATGCATGCAAGGCAAGTGCTCTACCAGCCCTCTCTTCTCTTGCCCAAGATCTTTGTGTAGTTAAACCTATAGCTTGAGGTGTTGGGAATGTGGTTTAGTCGTAGAGTGTTTGCCTAGCATGCACAAAGCCCTGGGCTCAATTCCTCAGTACCATATACACAGAAAAAGCTGGAAGCAGCGCTGTGGCTCAAGAGGTAGAGTGTTAGCCTTGAGCGAAAGAAGCTCAGGAACAGTGCCCAGGCCCTGAGTTCAAGCCCCAGGACTGGCAAAACAACAAAAACCCAACAAAACAGAAGAGGAAGAGAGGCATGCATGCATAGTCCCAGTTAGAGGTGTTCAGTGGGTGGTCAGCGGCATGCATGCATAGTCCCAGTTAGAGGTGTTCAGTGGGTGGTCAGCGGCATGCATGCATAGTCCCAGTTAGAGGTGTTCAGTGGGTGGTCAGCGGCACCTGTCTCGGGGCTGCCCAAGTGGGATCTCATTACATTAAGGGTCATTGATGCCCGCAGGTGGTCCGGCCCTCTTTGGCCTCCTGGACAGCTGCTGCGTGTCTGCAGGCAAGGACTTAGATCCAAGACGGAGGAAGCTGGGATGCCTAGTTTATGCTGCTCCTAGTTCAGTGGTGGGCCCACATAAGGAGTCAGCGTTTTGGGGGAGAAAAGCCACTTTGCACGTGACAATCACCTGCAATGCTCCTGCAGCTTTGTGCTCTGCTACTGCGGTATCCTGGTAAATTCTTTTGCATAGGATCACTAACCAAAACCCCAAACTGTGTGTGATGCATTCATAATCCCTCAGGCTGCGCTGGCAACTGTCCCCAGTAGGCATGGAGTTCTGCAGGCAAGGCAGCAGTAGAGGCTGTCCCCGTGGAATCTGTGCCATCCGTGGCTGAGGACAGGAAGGACTTCGCATAGACCAGCTTCTGCCTCCTGCAGAGCAGTCCTTGCTTTCCCCCTCTCCCCAGGTGGGGGCCTAGGGGGCTTGGGGTGTGTATCAGCAGTACTTTGGAAGCCAGCTCTACTTTAGGCCTTGCTAATAACCCTACAACTCTACCTAGAAGTGACTATGAATGTCATAACTAGGCCTATTATATTCCAATTAGGCCGGGTGCCGGTGGCTCATGCCTGTAATCCTAGCTACTCAGGAGGGTGAGATCTGAGGTTCACGGTTCAAAGCCAGCCCTGGCAGGAAAGTCCGTGAGTCTTATCTCCAGTTAACCACCAGAAAACCATAAGTGGTGCTGTGGCTTAAGTGGTAGAGTGCTAGCCTTGAGCTGAAGAGGTTGGGGACAGTGCCTAGGCCCAGAGTTCAAGCCCCACAACAACAACAACAACAAATCCAACTACCTGTATGTCTAACGCAATTCCAACTAGTTGTATGTTGCTAAACTCAATCTCCCATTAGACCTCTACAATGCTCTGGCCACCCCAGAATTGCCCTACGACAGAGCAAGTTCAAGTTCAGCAGGGCAGGTCCATGGAAGGAGGAGACAGCAGTCAGCCCTAACTGCTTGCAAGTCTCTTGCTTTTACAAATTGTTAACATGCAAATTTAGGAATGCATGACAGGGCTGGGAAGGTGGCTTAATGGTAGAGTGTGCCTTGCATGCGTGA